ATGCTTACTGGCCACCATCACCTGGTTATTGGCCTAGCTCCAAGGTTGGCTCCCTCAACTTCTACAAAGGTTTTAGGAATCTTTGGGGTCCTCAGCATCAAAAGATGGACCAAAACGCCCTCACCATCTGGCTTGATAGAACCTCAGGTACTCATTCAACTCTTCTCGTTTTTCTGATGTGTGTATTTCAACTTTCAAGTAGTGGGATGTGATGTGAAGTTTTATTTTCTTTCCATATCAATAATGTATATTGGGGTTTGTAATTATATAGGAAGTGGATTCAAGTCAGTAAAGCCATTTAGATCAGGCTACTTTGGAGCAAACATCAAACTCCAACCTGGCTACACTGCTGGAGTCATCACTTCTCTCTATGTGAGACTCTCTTGATTTAACTTACTTTTTCTAATTACATTTTAGTGATCATAATTAAAATTAAAATTTTTTGGCAGCTTTCAAATAATGAGGCACATCCAGGGTTCCACGATGAGGTGGACATAGAATTTTTGGGGACAACATTTGGGAAGCCTTACACACTTCAGACGAATGTGTACATTAGAGGAAGTGGTGATGGCAAAATCATTGGTCGTGAGATGAAGTTTCGCTTGTGGTTCGATCCCACTAAAGAGTTTCACCATTATGCTATTCTTTGGAGCCCTAAAGAAATCATGTAAGCCTTCGATCTTCCTCTTAAATCTCTCAATATAACTTTTAGATATTTTTCTTGTTGCATCTAACCCTTTAATATCTATATAACTATACACTATAGTTATATATATATATATATATATATATATATATAAGATCCGTGTTCTTACGGGAAGATACGACAAACTCATTTTTTGGTCACGGACTTAGGTGGATGTATCTAGAGCCGTATAGTAAACAAAACAACAATATACGTTTCTTAATTTTTTTGTTTTGTTTTATAATTGGGAAAAAGATCTTTCCCCTTATGTTGCATTATTCGGGCACGAACAAGAAAGAGACAGAGACCGTACGACGGTGGGCAATTATACTTAATTTTTTCTTGTAGTTTTATAAATAAATTATTTAATCTTCTCATGTGTTTTATTTGTCTTGGCCTAAACCAAAGTGCCAGCTTTTACTAAAGTTTTAAATTCTCTTAACTAAGTATGAGTCCTTTAAGCCTATGAGGTGCGACCACATCAATGGGGACATACAGAATCCACCTACCAAATTTAAGCATTTATATTTATTTTTACTATATATATATTTTAAGCATCAGAATGTTACTATCATGAAAACATACATAGTTTAATCTGGGCATATTCCTTATTGAGTAAACTATTTCATATGTTAAAACTAATATTTGATATATTTGTTTTTTCCTTTGTATGATTCAGATTTTTTGTGGATGATATTCCCATAAGAAGATATCCAAAGAAGAGTGTGTACACATTTCCTTTGAGACCAATGTGGCTTTATGGTTCCATATGGGACGCTTCTTCTTGGGCAACCGAAAATGGTAAATACAAAGCTGATTATAATTATCAACCTTTTACTGCCAAATACACCAATTTCAAGGCGATCGGTTGCACCGCCTACTCGTCACCACGGTGCCGTCCAGTGTCGGCCTCACCATACCGTTCTGGCGGGCTAACCCGACAGCAATACCAAGCCATGAGGTGGGTTCAAACACATAGTATGGTATACAATTACTGCAAAGATTATAAGCGTGACCATTCTTTAACGCCGGAATGTTGGCGTTAGGAAAATATTTTGAGGAAAGTCCCAAAGTTTGAGAATTTTAATTACATCAAAGAAAATACCACGAAGAGCTTGGTAAAAATTTTGGGATTTTTTTTTCTTTTTTCATTATTATTATTGTTAAGTGGGTTGTTTGTTTCACGAAAAATAAAATTTTCTTTTTTGGCTTATCATCTTGTGTAATGTAAATGTATCCAATATCATAGTGTTTGTCAATTGTGATCATAAACAAAACTGTTTGAAATGTTGTCATGTTATTCCATAATACATATACCATGGTCACACGTAACTCAACTAAATATATACAAAATTACAAACTATCAGGTATCAAATCTGTGACATATATTTTTAAGATTTCTTCTAATAAAGTCTATTAATTAACCAACTTCAGTTCATCCAATTCTGTTTTTAATAGCTAAAAGTCTAAAACCATCACCACCTTATACTATAAAGCTCTAATATAATGTTTGGTATTGTGATATTCAAAATCAGCAAATATGTCTATGTATCTTTCACATTTTTAATGCATCTATGTGCAAATGAAATTCACATTCAGGGAAAACAGTCGACAAATGTTTCAAATGCATTTGAAAGAAATAAATGTCATGACGAAAATGACAAATCAGAGATTGCAAGTTACAACGGATCATTGTGAAAAATATAAAATTCATTCGATTCTTTTTCAAGCTAAAAGTTTTTGGATGTGACTGATAAGTAACCGTTAGACTTTTCTAGTCGTTACAACAGTTCATACAGTATTGTTTTACTAGTTCTACATTAAGGATTTTATCGATGGAATCAAAGGGACTTTGAAGGATACATCTAATATGGATTCAATGGTAGCATTGGTAACGATAATAATTATTTTTTTGTTGTATATTTTATGGTGTTCATAGAATCTAACTGTTACTGTACAAATAATAATTTCAAGCCATCCATTGAAAAAGACAAAAAAAAATCTAAACCTTCTCTAAATCAATCAAAACACAAAGGAAAAGGATGCATGATTATTGTTGATTGATTAAGATACTATGAAATAAACTAAATGTATTGTATTCACTCATTTTAAAGCCACTTATCTTTTTAGATATTATAATAAAAAAATTATGAAAAATTCATGTATCTCAAATATCAAAATAATTGACAATAATAGAATATGTAGAAGTGTTCAGTCCATTTCAGCCATCCTCTCAAACCAAACCAAAAAAACAAAATTCACTTATATGAAAACTGAATTGAATACAAATACGAATGAAAATGCTTATACATGCTGGAATGTTTATATTCGACAAATTCAAACTAACCTTACCAAATCAAAGAGAAAATAACCAACTAGAAACTTCAAATTTCATTGATTAAAGTCCAAATGCGAACCAAGCACTGATGCATACATACTAAAGGTTAACTCTTTAAATAAATAAAATTTGCTATTAAGGAATTTTTATTTTCTATTATAATATTTTCTAGCCAGATCATCAGTATACAACAATAATATAAATCATGCACGTAGTGGCCATCACACACACTCGATAAAGATTAAATGAATATAAATGGACGAATACGACTAAACAATGTGAAGTAGCTTTATATGCGCATATTTGGTAGATGCGTACAAGACAACTGAAACACCAAACATTCGTTAAGAAAACTAGCCCACAAAGCCATCTCAGTGACCCATTCTTCTCTTTTTCTCCCTTGGTATTTTATGATAATGTTTTGACATTCAATTATTTATACTAAGGAAAAACATGTTACTCTCTACTTGCTTGCTGTTTATGATAGTGTTTCTTAGTTGCATATTTGACTGGAGATCGTAAGGAGTTAAGATGGATTCATTCCATCAATATCTTGTAAATTTTGATTAGACAAGACGACGACATATCTGTCAATGATTTTGGCGTAAATAGTTTTGTTGTACTTTAAAAACATTTGAACTGTAAGAAATTTCTTACAGAATCAAAGTAGCTAGCTAGTGATTGTAGAAAGAAAAAAAGTAATGTGCTTCTGTTCGAAATATTTGAGAGAAGGATCGGTGGTGTGCAGTTAAGTTTATATCATGGACATTTATGCGATGGCAGAGTAAGGCAATGGACTCAAAAAACAATGAAACCATGTGAAATTTATTATTGTGAATTCTTAAGTATTTACTTCTTTCATACTAGCTAGCTAGTCAAACATTCTGAGAGACGTAAAGTTTGAACAAAATACATCAGAAGATGTTACTTTGCTTTAACATTTAGTTCAGGAAGCTAATTTCTAAAGCCAACAAATTTTGCACTTTAATGTTTATAAATCGTGACATAAGAAATCTTATGTCTTCAATGGTGATATTGACAGTACTGTTAAACTGTTAAATCAACAAAAAAAAAAAAATACTCCTCATGTAAAGTCATGCATCCTCAAAAAAGAACACTACCCCAACGTATGAAATTTAGTGGAGGCTAACATCATTATTATTTATGGTAAATTTAAATATTCCTAAAAACACTATATACAAGTAATAAGTACACTGTATTATGGACAGTATACTACAAATATGCAATAAATATCGAAAAAAACAAACACAAAAAACTTTAAGGGCTTTGGAAGTTCCACGTCGAAATGATTTCATTGGACATTGATGAGATCATGAGATCTGCAGATTATATAATAGTGGGCTAGCCCTTGTCTTTGAGTTTCGACAGACATTGTCTCCTTTTTAGCCATTGTCATTTTCCCCTCTCTCTCTCTCGATCTCATTCCATGTTTTGTGTGTTTAGTGGTAATTTCATTCATAAGTCCCTCATCTTATATACCATCATACAAAATGTATTTTTCAACTTTCAAGTTATAGATAATCAACTCGTGGTGATCAAATAATCGAATCATTTATCTTTGAGCTTAAAGTACATGTAGGCTTAGCTTATGTTGTCGTACATACTTCAAGTCTCCAATCTCAATGCATGTAAATATGTACGTTAATCAAAAAAAAAAGTGTTCATAACTTTCAAGTTCTACCAGATATATAAAGTTAAACCCAAATAAATAGCAATACCGACCTTAGCTCAGTTGGTAGAGCGGAAGACTGTAGTAGTTGCTGTAATCTTTAGGTCGCTGGTTCGATTCCGGCAGGTCGGATTTTTTAGTTTCTGACCCTTTTTATTTTAAGTTTTAAATCTTTATCTACACAAAACAGGCCTTGGGCCTTAATCAAGTATTCAATATCATGGGCCGATAAGTCAAAGTTTGAAAGTAACTTTACGCGGTTGCGCTGAAGAGAAAAACGACGACGTTTATACTGGTGAATCCGTGTTTTTGACTCGACGGTTTTTTTTCGTAGTTGGAAAGGCTCGAAAGGGGAGGGTCAATTTTGTAATTTTCGCACCACTTTTTCTTATTTTGCATTTTTCCAAATCCACTTTTCCATTTTTTTCTTTCTTTTAGAAAACCCACTTTACGAAGGAATCAAATCGACTCGACTCGTTTTTCTTAAATCCGCCATAGATCCAACATACACCACCACCGTCGCATCCGGGTTCGAATTGTCCAGCTCGAGCTTTTCCGCGTTTTGCAGTTTCTTCTTCTCCGTCTTCATCTCCTTTTTGTCATGCTGTTTCAAGCTGTTTAGGGCTGGCTCAAAGTTTGATTTGGGAGAAATTTGAAATCCTCCTTTAGGATTTTGAAATATGGCTAGGGTTTATAGTAATTGGGATAGGCTTGTTCGAGCCACTTTAAGAAGAGAGCAGCTGAGGAATACAGGTCAAGCTCATGAGCGGGTTAATAGCGGACTTGCTGGAGCAGTTCCGCCATCACTTGGTCGAGCTACAAACATCGATGCTATCTTACAAGCTGCTGACGAGATTCAGTCTGAGGATCCTAATGTCGCTAGAATTCGTAAATTTTTCGTTTTTGTTTTACTTTTGAAGTTTCATCTCTTGCTTTTTTTTTTTTTTGTCGTTTTGAATATTGACACTGGTTTTATCTGTTGTAGTATGTGAGCAAGCGTACTCTATGGCACAGAACTTGGACCCTAACAGTGATGGTAGAGGTGTTCTTCAATTCAAAACTGGTTTGATGTCCGTGATTAAGGTATTTTTCTTGGACCCTTATATGTCAATTGTTGCGAAACGAAAAGAAAATGCAATTGTCTCACGATGTTATATCTGTAGTTGGTGGTTTCAATCATATGCATATAGCTGTGTAAATGGATCCTGATGCTGTGTCTGTAGTATAATTGTTCCACTATGGTTACCATTTGATATTCATAATTTTAGGTGCAATCATTCTTTCTTGGTTTTTATTTTTATCTTATGTCAAATGGTATGTTTACTTGTTCTGAGTCGAAGGGGTTTAATTTATTTTTCAGCAAAAACTTGCAAAGAGAGATGGTGCTTCAATAGACCGCAATCGTGATATTGAACGACTATGGGAGTTTTACAAACTTTATAAAAGACGGCATAGAGTGGATGATATCCAGAGGGAAGAGCAAAAATGGAGGGAATCAGGAACAAATTTTTCTTCAAATGTGGGAGAGTATGTGCATCTTTAATCCTTCTTATTTTCTTCATTTTGGTCAGTGTTTGGATTATATCCCTTGAAAATGACCGAATTTCTAAAAATCTGAAACATCCGTCTTGAATTGTGTTGATGCATGTTCTTCATTTGGCAGTGGTTTCTTGGTGTAGATTAGTTTTTTTGGTATTATAAGTGATCTTGATACATATGAATTTATGATTTCCTCTGGTCAATTTTACGGATGAGATTCTGTATACTGGAGAATGAGATGAATGTTGTCTTACTTTACCTTTTTTGATTGAACAGTAGTTTCTCTCTTTCTGTAGGATCTTGAAGATGAGGAAGGTCTTTGCCACATTAAGGGCCTTAATTGAAGTGTTAGATGTCCTAAGCAGAGATGCAGATCCAGGTGGTGTTGGGAGATCTATAAGGGATGAGGTGCGTATCTCGCACCTGTTGTTGCTTCTCGTAATCCCAAAGAATTTAATCTTCTTGTTTCCTGTTTTGCTGATGCCAAGCATTCAAAACTCATACATAATACTCTGATGATTGAAGCTCTTTGTTGAGAAGTTGCTTCTGATTGAAGGGATTATAATTGTTTCCTATTTTCATTAAATTACTCCGTAAAATATCATGTTATAAAAGTATCTTGGATGGGTTAATTGATATTTTTTGTTTATGTTTTCAGCTTGGGCGAATTAAAAAAGCTGATGCAACTTTGTCTGCGGAACTTACTCCTTACAACATTGTCCCTCTAGAAGCGCAATCCATGACCAATGCAATTGGAGTTTTCCCTGAAGTAAGTTAAAACAAGAATGAAATTCTTTATTATCAGTAATTTTAGCTTTTTAGGTGTTTCTTACTCAGAAAGAGCTCTATTGTCTTTTTTAGGTGCGTGGTGCAGTACAGGCGATCAGATATACTGAACATTTCCCTAGGCTTCCCCATGATTTTGAGATTTCAGGACAACGTGAGGCAGATATGTTTGATTTACTGGAGTACATCTTTGGGTTTCAGGTACAGTGGTAAATATTGGATCAAACTCGTCCCTGATTCTTTTTTGTTTCACTTACATTTTATTTGTCTTGAGCACTGTCTCAGAGAGACAATGTAAGGAACCAACGGGAGCATCTGGTTCTCACACTTTCAAATGCACAATCTCAGCTTAGTGTACCTGGCCAGAATGACCCAGTGAGTTCTTCCTTATGACCGTAATATTCCATTGTGGCATACTGTACTGAGAGACAGCTATGTTTTTCACGTTGGTTAAGAGGAAATCTTCTTAATATCTTGACCTTTTTTCAATCTTTTCATGTAGAAAATTGATGAGAATGCAGTCAATGAGGTTTTCTTGAAGGTTTTGGACAACTACATCAAGTGGTGCAAATATTTGAGGATACGCCTTGTGTACAACAAGTAAATTTTTGTCTATTTTCTGGTAATGGGAATACTGGCTTAGTTCATGTGAATTATTAACTTCGAAGTTTTCAGGTTAGAAGCCATTGACCGGGACAGGAAGCTGTTTCTTGTTTCTTTGTACTTCCTTATCTGGGGCGAAGCTGCTAATGTACGGTTTCTTCCAGAGTGTGTCTGCTATATATTTCACCAAGTAAGATACCATCTTGTTGCTGATTATGCACCAACTTTCTGCTATCAGTATACTCTTGTTTTATATCTTAGTTTGCTAGGTGACTTTTTGTTTCGTTCCTTGCCGAGGAAAAATCTAAATGTGTAGGTTTTATAGATTTTCTTGTTAGTGTTGTCCTGCTGTTCATATCTTTTCTCATCCTATAAACTACATAACTAAGCCAAGAAAAAAACTTGTCTAAATCGCCGTAGCATATGATCGTCTCTGCATCTCAGTATTTAGCTTATGTTAAAGCAACCAGCCTGACCCTTATTCTGGAATGATGAAAAATGAAGGCCCATGTGATCTTGGATTTTACACCCAATGCAAAGTTAAAATATATCTCTTCTCACACGTTACCTTTGTTTGTTAGATGGCCAAGGAATTAGATGCAAAATTGGATCATGGAGAAGCTGTCCGCTCTGACAGTTGCTTAACTGAGACTGGTTCTGTATCATTTCTTGAGAAAATTATCTGCCCTATATATGAAACAATGTCAGCGGTGAGTCATTGCTATTATAATTTTGTTTTGTGCATCTTTTTATTCTTTGGCATAATAGCTTTCCATTTGACAGATTATGTTTCTTCCCCCATTTTTGGTATGGTTATACATATTTTTACTTCTAGGCAAAAATGATAGTTTGAGACTTTGAGTTTCACTCAACCAGAGCTTTTGGAAAAATAGTTTGGTTATTTTTAGAGTATCTATCACTTGTTAAAAATTTCTGTGTTAAACCCCATATCACTTAATTTAGTAGCAGTTTTTGTAAAGGAAATTTTCACAACTTCAAGTGAGTTTTGCGTACAATCTTCAAGATTCTCCCAGTCAGTTTCTTAACATAGATGTTTCTGGTTCTATATTTGAAAGTATTTTCCTACCTTGTTTTTATATCAGATTTTCGTTCTGTTTCTGAGGTATAGCATTTTATCTAGATGTGGATTTATAGTGTCTTCCATTACTGTTTTGTTTTATGGTCGTGTGAGCCCTTAGATTGGCTATGAAACTTAATCATGTAGGAAACTGTTCGAAACAATGGTGGGAAAGCTGCGCATTCTGAATGGCGGAATTATGATGACTTCAATGAATACTTTTGGTTTGTAATTTACTACTACTATTATATTTCTAGTATAAACCTCGTTTCAAGTAGTCTAACTGTGTTTGTTATATTTAGGACACCTGCTTGCTTTGAGTTAAACTGGCCAATGAAAACAGAATCACGCTTTTTAAGCAAACCTAAAGGGCGGAAAAGGGTGAGTCTTGTTCATATTGGAAAAGTTCCATGAGTTTATGTTTCATTCCTTCTTGGTTTTGCCCACTAATCATCTGTGACCTCTTAGTTCCTCTTGGCTTCAAGTTCATGAGTAATCTGGTTGAACTCTTACATTCAATATAAACAATTGTTTAATGGGTCTTGTCCAGTTGCGGGTGCTTTATCGTAAATTGTTAGTTATTTTCTCTCCACTTCTGTTTGGGGGAATAACTCGAATGAGAATTATTGTCCAACAATTCTAACTCAGAAGGAGATGGATGTAAAACACTGCATAAAACTTGTTATTAGAGTCATTCATTTTCTCCATCAGTTATTGTCCAACCCATATAATCATCCAACATTTTCAACTTCTGTCTTGTTAATATCCATATCTCTGCAACACCTTTGACTGGTCCATTTTCCTGGAATTCAATGTAGACGGCTAAAAGCAGCTTTGTTGAGCATCGGACATACCTTCACCTTTTCCGAAGTTTTATCCGACTTTGGATCTTCATGTTTATTATGTTCCAGGTTGGTGTGGTATCTATGAACAAATTGATGCTTAATTTTGATAATTTTCCTAATTGTTGTTATTATTTTACCCATTCACAGTCTTTGACGATTATAGCCTTCAGAAAAGAGCGTCTAGATATAGATACTTTCAAGATCTTACTCAGTGCTGGGCCTACATATGCCATCATGAACTTCATTGAATGTAAATTTCTCTGATTGACTATGTTGGCTTAGTATTATAAGACTCAAAAGTCAAATTGTAGATTTGTACGTACCTTGTTGAATACACATGCTTGTTATTGATTCAGGTCTTCTTGATGTTATGCTTATGTATGGCGCCTACAGCATGGCAAGAGGAATGGCTATATCCAGGCTGGTTATCAGATTTATTTGGTGGGGCTTGGGCTCGGCATTTGTTGTATATGTTTATGTGTACGTATCCAATTTCTCCACATGAACTATTTCTTCTTGATAAAATTTGTCTACAAAAGCTAACCTTTTCTGAAACAAATATTGCAGGAAGGTTCTGCAGGAAAGAAATAATCAAAACCAAAATGATTTATCCTTCCGCATATACATTCTAGTATTGGGTAGTTATGCCGCTCTTCGTGTTGTCTTTGGACTTTTAGTCAAACTTCCAGCGTGCCATGCTCTGTCAGAAATGTCTGATCAATCTTTCTTTCAGTTTTTTAAGTGG